TGTCATGGGTAGGTGTGGTGGTGGGGGGTGGGGTGTGGGATTGAGAATCCCAATAGGGGAAAAATGTTATGGGGAGGGGTATCATAGAGTCCCTGGCACATGGCAGGGGAGCATACAGAATGGGTTGCATGTGGGCACTTTACATGAGAGAAATCGCAGGGGTACAAGGGAGTATTTGGAATTGAAAGAAACAGTTGGATGGTAGACAGAGAGCTTGGGGAATGAGCTCTGCCTACAGAAGCTAAACTGTGTGTAACCCCTAGTTATATGCTTAGCAAAGGAAAAGGTTTTTTTTCCCCAATGACTATAGAAAATGAATTTCTGGCAGGGGGTATTACTGTTCTAGACCAGGGACAACCTGGCTATACAAGATAGAAAATAAACCTGAAACTTCTTAAAATTGTAATTAGAGTTGCAAAATAAAGATAGACTAGATTAATTAGTTTACCACATAACCAGTGCAAAATTGTTTGATACAGTATATTTGCTTTAGCTGGTTTAGTTTGAAAGGTGATTGTTAAAAAGGTTTTTTTTTTTAAGTTGGATATGTGCCATTTTTTATGCTTCTTTATGTTGTATAAAGAGGAGATGAAAGGATCTTTAAATAGTTCATTTGTTTTCTGCTTTGGACACATCTAAGTATCAGTTCATGTATTCCCTGGTTTACCTGGAGGAGCCACAGAGAGAAGGAGGCTTACGTTAAACTCTCACATTTTAACCCAGAAGCTGGAAATGCTGAATGTTTAAGAAAGATGTTACTCCAAAATAAATATTTATAGAAATAAACAAAACTAGGAGTTCTAAATGCTCTGACTTAAACTCCCTTCCTATCTGCATTGCTCAGTTTTGACATTTCACTAGTTTCCTGGTCTTTTAAACTGGGTTGGATCTGAATTTCTAAAGTAAAAATCTAAAGGGAAAACAGACCCGTTCTCTTTAAAAAAAAAACCTTTGAGACTTCCTTTTTACATCATAAGCTAAAAAATGGTATAAGTTTATTTTTCGCCCTTTGCAGGTCCTCTTTAAGCATCTAAAGTGGTAATACTTCATCTGTTTCCCCTGGGAGATTATTTCAGTGCTGATTTATCTTTACTGTCAGTACAGTTTTCCCATTATTCAGTATAATTTCTCATCTATTTCCATTTCAGCCTGTGATGCCCAGACCATGCCTGCTTTATGGTAAAATTGCTGAAGAACAGAGATCTTGACTCAGTTTATGCCAATGGTTTACATCTATTTTGGGGTTGCATTTCTGATCTTGTTCTGTCTTCTGTCCTGTGCTTCTGTGAATATTGCCCTTATATTTATTTGTCATCTTTTTATGCATTTCACGGGTTTTTCCTTTCTTCCTTTTTTTCCTTGATTGCCTAGTCTTTGTCTATGATCCCTCTTCTATACTTCTTACTCCGAAGAAAATTCCTTGGGTAGAAAGAGACACCTTTTGAAGGCTCTCTGGGGCTAACCGTATAGGCTCTTACACATAAAGGCTATGTACAGACATTCAAAAAACCTGAGGTGGAATTGATCTCAGTTACACAGTTTTTTGTAAGCTGCATAGTTTAGATCGGTAGTGAGAAAACACATTTGCCACATGTTTGCCCTTTGTTGCAGGGGAGGAGGAGTGGGGTGGAAATCTTAGATTAGATTCTGCCATTTTTAAACTGGTCTGTGTGTGCCAAATTTCTGTTCTGTTATGGATATAAACTGATTTTATGTGCTGAACTGCTGTCCTGTTACAGGTATAGACTAGTTTCTGATCACTTATATTGGTAAAAGTTTAATGTTTGTATCTAGCTGAAGTGAGTATCTTAGCACTTAAACAGAAGATGACTTCATTCATCACATGCAAACCGTGTAGTCAGCAACACTGGCAGTTACTAGCAAAAATTAGAAGGTCAAATTGCTATGGAAAAGCTTCTAGGCCTTATACTCAGCAGGAGCTCTACACTGTACATGAAGAGAGAAGGGCAGAGCTGGAATTATGTAACTTTCCATGCCTTCCCATTTACTATTGGGTAGGAGTGGGAGGCAGGAAAGTAGGGGAATCCTACATATATATACCTATGAATGGCACCTACCAGCTCTCATCACAAATTCTATATTCTTCTGCCAATACCTAATAGAAAATAATATTTATAATTTAACAGGAATTAATCAAATGAAATTCTATAAAAATCTAATACAGTTGATAGAAATTTAATCTAACAATCCACAGAGTTTTATAGAAAAGATTATATCTCTACTTTTTTTAAGCCATGATTCTGTTGCTGAGAGATAATTATTTCTCTTAAATTCTGTAGGATAATGCAAAAAAAGAAAGCACATAGAAAGTATATCTTTTTTTTAGATACCATTCATTATAAAGCTACATTCATTACCCTGTATGGAGGCCACAGTTACAATGTAATTACAGTATTTGTGTTTACACAAAGATGTGATTCATAACTGTACACTTGAACCTGGATTCTAAAAGGATGTGTTAATTATGTAACATGAGGGTTACACAGTTAATTCCATCCTATAATAAATGTCCTGCTTGTAGGATATTTTAGCTTGTAAGTATGTGGGTCATTCAGTATAGCTTCAAAGAAATGTTAGTGTACATGGATTCTAAAAGTATCTTTTTAAAGTATGGGACTATAGAATTAACATTAAGAAATTAAATCATGCAGTTAATTTTCCACTTTCACAAATTAGAAGCAATTATGCAGATATAAAATATAGAAAATGGGGTACTTAATCTATCTGTTTTATTAAATATATTGTCATTTTCTAAATTATCTTGTAGGAAACTTCCTTATGCTTCTTGGAAGCTTCCAGCAGTGATCTCCTGAGAAAAAGCTTCATTCTCATGTATTGAAAGTGATAATAGTTGAACTGTTTTCACTTACCTCAGTGTCTTGAGGAGAAGAAGCATACTTTTTCTCCTCCAATATTTCCAGAGAACATCTCCCATCACTCTTTCTATGGCATGGCATGAGGAACTATATGGCAGAATTATTTTCCCTTTGTATACCTAAATGATGGCTTTCTAGCTGCATGACTATGTGAAAACACATGAGCAGTGTTAGATGGTGAAGGAAGAAGACATGGCTCTCCATCCATTTTATCTAATGACTATTGAATGCAAGGGATAGTGGCTCAGTTTCAAAAAGGAGTGTTGGAGAGGGGCCAGGATAAGACTTAACCTGTGTTGGGAAGTAAGAGAAATATGGATTCAAATGCTCTCTGGGTATAGAGCAGAAAGCTAGAAATGTGGGTCTTCTGCTTCCTGAAACCATTCAGCTAATGGCAGGGTCCTCCCTAAACATGGCAGCGTCCTCCCCAACTTTCCTGGTATGTTGAGGTATGTGTATGTACTATATTGTGCATCCTTAGTCTATGTGTGCACACTTATGTGCGATTGTTCAGAACCAGGACCGGAAACACTCAGGAAATGGCTATAAAACTGCCATTTAGGTGCACAAAGGGAAACAGAATGGCCCTTGTGTCTTCTTGATTTTCCTGCTAAAGGAACCTATCTTTCTTTTCCACTTGCAAGCCTTTTTGTCTTGGATCCTACAGATGTTCACACTCAAGTGTCCTGCTAAAATACCTGTGTGCTGGGTAAAATGTGTTAGCACTTTTTTTCCTGGGACATTTCTGTTTGTGTTTGTATGTTAATTGTGGCTCATTTCATTTAAGTGTGGTTCATTCCAAGGGAAATGTTGTCTGGCTATATGCTGTCCCTGGCCACCTACTGGTAGAGCAGCAACAATACAGTGTGGAAGAACTATGCACGTAGAGGGCTGTGCTGCTCCTGTTTCGTCTTAGTCAAATCCCAGGAAAGTCAGGACCACCTCAAATAAGATGTCCATTTACATCCTCTGGAACAAGCGTAAGGTTGGTAAGTTTAGGACAAACCCTACCTCAGGACTGAATAATACTGATTTATATTTTAATATCACACAGTCATTGTGGTTAGAAGTTTCAGTGTACTTGCCTTAAGTATTAACTTAAATGTTATAGTATTGCTTCTCTAAAACTATTTAAACCTTTCTAAAAAGGCCAGGTCCATTAAAATTTGAATCATAGTCCCTTAGTTACATATATAAAATGTGAATCTCCTATGTTGTATCATATTTTTGTTAAAAATTAAAATGGAAAAACAATGTAATTATACCAGCAAGGACAGATCCAGAAGGGGTGCAGTAGCCTGACTGCCCCCCGCTCCCCTTTCTGACCATGCTGCTGAAGCAGCAGCCAGGGATTTAATTCTCAAAGAAGGTAAGCATTTACCATAGAATCTTAGAAAATTAGGGTTGGAAAGGACCTCATGGCTATCTAGCCCACCCCTTTGCTCACAGCAGTACCATCCCCAACTAGATCCTTCTAGCTTTGTCAAGCTGGACCTTAAAAACATCTAAGGAGAGAGATTCCACCACCTCTCTAGCTAGCTTGTTCCAGTGCTTCACTCCACTCCTAGTGAGAGAGTTTTTCCTAAAATCCATTTTCCCCCTTCCTTCCCCTCTGTGATCAAAGGCATGATCCCTTTCTTCTTCATCTCCTTCTCCTCCCCTGGCCTGGAAGGGAAGGGTTAGGGGGATGGAGTAGGAGAGGGGAGCTCCTACCTGCTCCAGCTGGGTTGCAGAGGGGCTGAGTTCTGCCTGGGTTTGTGACAGCAACTGTAGTGGGCAAGCACATTCCCCCTCTCTGACTAATACTCCGAGGTGTTCCCCCACCAGGAGCAGGCTCAGGGAAGGGGAACATGCCCCCTGACCACTCTCACTGCTGCCACAGTCCCCAGTGAGTGCAGTGCCACCAGGCTAGAGTAGACAGGAGATCATCTTACTCCCAGGGCAGCACCTGGCAGTGGCAGGCAGGAGATGGGGAGAATGGGAGGGGAAGGGATGGAGAGGGAAGAAAAGGAGTGGGGATGTGCCTCTGAGCACAGAGGGCAAGGGAAGGGAGGAATGCTTACCTTCCTTGGGACTTAGATGGAGCTGAAGAAGCAGCAGCTGAGGGCTGTCTTGCCGTGGTGGTGGGGAGCAGGGGGAGGAGTCTGGAACCGGGGAATGCAGCCACCCCTTCAACTGCACTTCCCTTTGCCAAATCCTGGATCTGTTTCTGCAGCCATCCCTGCAGTGCTTCACCCCCCTTTACAAAATCCTGGATCTGCACCTATATATCAGTCTGAGTGTGGTTATCCATTATAATTCAATTGTTATTAATCTGTTTACCATTTATTTACATTTTCCTGATATTTAAGTCGGCTGTGGAAGATGTTCTCATGCTTGAATGCCTTGCATGAGATCTGCAAGCTTGCTGCTAAAGTCATTGGTTTTTCTCTCTGAGTAATTCTGCTCAGCTCTGCTCCATTTCCCCCTCAATACTCAGTTGAATATATTGGAAAGTGACCAAGGGTCTGATCCAATGCCTACTGAAATAAGTGGAAAATTTTCCATTGATTTTCATGGATATTGGATCAGGCCCCAAATGAATGAAAAAATGCTGAGAAGACTGATGGTTTATACAAGAAAACAAATTGTGGATGAAGAAAGGGCAATTACTAGAATGAAGAGTCCTGACCTATGCCCACTCTTGACTCGGGAGACACACAGATTATCTAAACTGATCAGAGCTTCAGCTGGATTAAGATGTGTTGAGGCTGACTGAGGTTTGCCAAGAGGGAAAACAAAGAAGCCGACATGGAAATGATTTATACAAGCAGAAAAGATTACCACAACAAGCAGCAAATGAATGAATTATTAATTAATCTGATCTGGGAGGAAATTATAAAAGCCTTTTCAAGAAAAAAAATCTTTAAAAAATGGAGCAATCACTCAACCCAGCTTCAAAAAACAGCAATATTTATTTGAGAAATGTGCTAAAGAAATATGAAGCCAGCCTCCTAAATTAACGTAGAAGGTGAGTAATTTGAATCAGACTATTAATACCATTAGAATTGATTGCCTTAAGATTTGTTGTTGTGCTGTTAGATTAAAAGATAGATCAATGTCAGTTTTGTACTGGAGTCCCTCCCCTTCAAATCAATCAATGAGCAAGGCTGTTCCGCACAACCCTGGTGTATGTTTACCTCCTTTCTGTAGTTGGAATTATAGGATGACTTATGTCATTAAGCTATTGTCCGTAGGCCAATGTGCTCCACACTGAGGATGGCAAAATATCTTTATTATAGAGTTTTCCTAGTCATGTGGGTGTTGTTGTTTTGAGGCATTTGGAGCCAATTTTAATTCCTATAGCAGCATGGAAACTAATATTGTTGGAGTATATTGAGATTTATACTGCTTTCACTGACATCTGTTACAATGTATGAAATTTATACTGAATCTTATCTTTATCAATCTGACCCCAAATTAGTTAATAAAAATGATCAGTTAGTAATAATTAGCAGTATTTCCAAGTGTTGGATTATGCCATTTTGTCAGAACTTCAGGAATGGTGTGTTCTTTGGCCAGCTGGTGCTTGTATTTGATCCTTGGCTTATCTTTGCTTACTGCATTACACTCAGAAGCCATATTGTGCTGCTTTTGGGAACACAGGTAATGGGCTTGTGG